TCAAGGTAATGATGACTTGTAAATGGTTAGGACTTATCTGGTGCTTTATATCAAAACAGCCTTGCTTTGAAAAGAAACAAATGATTTGTTTTGAAAAGTGGGTCATTATGTAACCATGCTCCCATAGGATCATGCATTACTCAGAGCTGAGCGAGAAACTTATTTTATGAAAGTAAGCAGCATTGTTCAAGACAGCAATGTAATTTGACATAACTCCTCTGTATTTGGTGTTCATTTAGGAATTATGACATTGGGTTCCACTCTGTTCAGTATGAGAGGATTCAATGTGCGACTTACATAGACACGGTGTTTGAAGAGCGAGAGGGGTGGGGACACTGGTTACAGCTCAGAATCAGAGCTGCTTATGTCTCAGTAGGGCCTCAGTTACACATTCCGCCTTTTTGAGAACAGGCGCCTTTTTCAGAAATTGGGAGCATTTCAACGTAATGATATCATCCTCCCTCCTTTAGATCATTATCAGAGCAATGCACTGCCGCTGTGCTTTTTTACAGTAATTACAATATATTTTCCTCCCTCTCACTACAGGTTCACACACTCCAGTGCTTACATTCATCTTATATTTCCTGTCAATTGAATAAGCATTTACAGTACCAGCCAAAAATTAAGACACACCTCCTTATTCTTCATTAGTACGGTTTTCTGCATTTAGTCATCAAAGTATTACATAATGCAAATTGAAGTATGCAGTTCTAAGATTTTATATGCATTCTAAGTTCTAAGATTCTATAATATAGATAAGATAATTTATTGATATTTATTGTAAGATAAATGTAAATATATTGTTATTAGTTTAAAAAAAAACTGTTTACATGTGTTATATATCTGAAAAATGAATAAATGTTAATGTTCTACTTGCCAAATTTCATGAAAGGTATTTATTATTCTAAGACAACTGATGAAACATCTGATGTAATCCTCAAGTTTTTAATTATACCAAACAAAAAGTTTGTTTTTGTTTGTTAATCCAAGTTAGATGGGTGATATTCATTGAGATTTGGAAACTGCATGAAGATTTAGCTTCAACTGAGATTCTCTTACAATCTGCTATTAACATCTTATAAGTTGTCTCAGTGACCTGTTGAGTAGTGAACTTGCCAAACACGTTATGTGTGGGTGACCCTAGTTGAAATCTTGCTTGGATCATTTCCTGAGCCCACTTAATTTGATTGTTTCCTGTCTGTTTTTGAGTATTTCTGTCTGTAGATACCCATAGGAAAAAATTTGCTCAGTGGTTGCTTTCGCTAAACTCAGGAGACTTAGATGAGATTCTCATGTATCTCATTTTAGTATCAACAGCATTTCAGATGTTTCTCCTAAAATTCCTTAGGAGAAATGGAAGTAGACACAAATTAGACATGAGAAATATTTGAGAAAAAAAGTCAAAACTGAGAATGTGGTGGAAGAAACATAGATATCTCTTTATTGTCTTGCTGCAATCTCTATCAAGACTCCATTATAGGAATATTTTATTGCTCAGTGGTTGCTCTTTCTAACCTCAAGAGACTTAGTTGTGATTCTCATGCATTTCTCATTTTAGTCTCAACAGTGTCTCAGATGTTTCTCCTAAAAATCCTTAGGAGAAATAAAAGTAGACACAACTGAGACATGAGAAAGTTCTGAAAGAAAGAAATCCAAAATGACAATGGGAGAGAAACATGAGAGAAACATAGGAGATCTCTTTATTGTCTTATTGTCTTGCTGTAATCTCTTGCAAGACTCCATTATAAAAATGTTTTACTGCTCAGAGGTTGCTTTTATTTTTGTTTGATTACAATGGGGGTTTTCACCTTTAATGGTCAGGACAGTAGGAGTAGAGGCAGGAAACAATTGGACAAGTGAAAATTGAACAGAAGCAGGAAAGTACCTTTAACTGGGATTCGAACCCATGTTGTCTGAGGTGCAGTTGTGCCTTCACGTCGATGTGCTTCCCACAAGGCTATGGCTCTGACAGAAGTAACTCTACGCTCAGGATGCAAAGGGGTGATTCTCTTATATATCTCAGCTTTGTCTTAAGATGTCTTCAGTTTTATTTTAGGAGAAATGTTAAACTTGTACTAATATTGTAAATACTAAAACTATCATTTAAATAGCATTAAACATTTCAGAATATCAAGGGTTACTAGTTGAAATGTTTCAATTCTTCAATGTCCAGCATTGTATATACACCACATTTTCCAAACACACTAGAAAGGACTTACAAGTGCAAGATGTTTAGTATAAGAGCAATACCTTTATTTATTTATTTAAGATTTTTTAAGACTTTTTTATTTGTATTTTTTTTTTTTTAATATTTAGATAGAACAAATGTAACACTAGTGTACCAGTTTTTTTTTTTTTGTTAAAGAGAATTAAAATGTTGTTTCGTACAGCCCATTTTTGCATGTATGTAAATATAGGTTATGGTTTCCTCCGTTAAATCATTGTGCAGTAAAACACTGTCTACATAAAACAACTTCAAATATGACAATGAATGTATTGTCTTTGATTGAAATGTTGTGGATAAATGATATTGAAGCTAGCTAGCCAAAGGGAAGAAAAATACAATAAAAAAGAGATCTCTTTAACATTTCAAATATGCTGTCTACATAAAGCAACTTCAAATATGACAATGTATGTGGATACATGACATAGAAGCTAACCAGAGGGAAGAAATAATAAAATAAAAATAGATATCTTTAACATTTCAAATATTTACCCTAGACAGAAATGAGGTTACTTTAAGATTGTATGGAAACTTTTGCTTGAGTCTCCTGCTTCTCAAACTTGTCTCCTGAGACAAAAACTCTAACACTCTCACAATGGTCTCCTTTAAAGCTTTAAAAGAGATCTCAGCAACTTTAAACACTGTGCTCAGATTTTTCTCCTAATCTAAAGACTCTGGTGGTCTCATATTTGTTTCCTCCAGTGTTTCAAACAAGATCTCAACAACATCACAGACTGTGCTCAGATTTTTCTCTTTAGCTAGAGACTGTGGATCTCTCACACGTGTCTCCTCAAATGTTTAGAAGAGATCTCAACAACATCACACACTGTGCTCAGATTTTTCTCCTTAGCTAGAGACTCTGGATCTCTCACATTTGTCTCCTCTAAATTTCAGAAGTGATCTCAATAACTTTACAAAGTGTGCATCAAGTCAAATGCCTCAATATGAGCTCAAACATTTCTACTATATAATATGTATTAAGAATCAAATGAGTCAATTAATAATCAAGACTGAGTCATACGCTGTTTATGTGCCTTTCAGCAAAGAAAGCTCCAGGGTTACATTTTCTTTAAATAAGTTTGGATTAAAGCCATCATGTTAGTCATGGGGCTTTTTCTGCCCCCCACCCAATGCTCATTTCCTGTGGGGGCTTGCTGTGGGACAGCAAGAGAGAAGGCCATCATCAGAGAGACAGAGAGTAGAGACATGCACTTACTGTGTCTCTGTTAAAGCACTGCTGAGAGCGACACATACACGTAATGCTCACAGCTCAATATTTAATAAATGCTTTTTATTTCTGGGCTATACCCATAGGAAAGAAAAATCAAAAGTGAGATCTCTTTAACATCTCAAATATTTCTCCTACACAGAAATGAGGTTACTTTAAGATTGAGTGGAGATTTTTGCTCGAGGTGCACCCTGTTTGTTTTCTTTATTTTATAAATGCACAACGTTTTGTTGTTATTATGTGTGAATACAAATAAAAGTAGACCATTTACAGATTCGATTGATGTATTGCTCTTATCTGTAAGATCAAAACTGAAAGTGTAATTTAAGTTCTTTTCGGTGTTATCAGGAGAAGATGCCACAAAACACGTATCCGCGTTTGTCGACCCCAAAGGGTTAATCAAGCTGCTGTTATGGAGAAAAACACACGGAAATGACATTGCACTTTGCTGTATGCACAGTTCCAAGCAAATGGAAATGAAATGAAATGGACCTTTTCTGAAAACCAAAAGACATTGCACTTGTTTGCCTGATGGTTGTTGTTTAGTTGCTCAGCATTTTTCATACTGACGAGAGAAAACATTGAAACGGAGACCTTAGGGGTGATTGTGCTTTGGTTTGAACGTCGGCCAATTGTAATTCCTGTGTTTGTCTTTGGAGGTTACACATTGTGGGTAAATGACCCATGATTGTTAGAGAATATTTCAGATGGTTGTGTGAAGGAACTTGCTAACAATGTGGGCCAGCAGATGGTAGAAAGACATCTTTGTAAAGCTCTGACGTTCACATGAAACCAGAAACCTGCAATATATATAGTATACGGTGTGAGGTCAGTCAGGTGCAGACTTGATGGATTAGCCTGTTCGTTCTCATGTGATGACATCATTCACACACAAACTTTTCAGTAGTTGTTGTTGATGTTTTGCAGACTGACGCTGGGTTCCTCTCATTGTGCTTTTTTGGGTCATTACAGCATGTGCTAACATTTAACATTCAAATTTTAAATGTATCCATTTGCACTAGATTCAGCAGGAGAAGGTTCCAAATAAAAGTAGCTGTAGTTCAGTTTCGAACTAGGAATGGCAAAGTACAGCATATGTAAACATATCATTGACACCCCACCAAATTTTTTTAGATTTCTTCTCCAAAATGGCACTTTAATTGTCTTTGATAGCAGTGAATGGCTGCACTCAGTTGTAATGACTTTAGCCATTCCTTCTTAAATAGCTCAAGTCACACTACATTTGTTAAACTGAATTGCTTTCCTCATCCTGGGACACACAAAGACAGCTTTGACGCCATTGTACACCAACAGAACCAAAGGCTCATAAATTTCAAAATTTATGTTTTATTTTTGTAAATGTGTGGGATAATTACCAGAGTCTTATTAGAACTTTCCCAGAGGGTCGGGAACACTTAACGTTGCGTGCTATGAGATGCTACGACTGCAGCTGGGAAATGGCATGTCGTCCGATCGACTGATGGCTGTTGGGGATTGGTCGATTAGAGCACAATCCCATGATGCTTTCCACCCATATGTGTGTCTCAGCAGGAAACGGCTATGTTAACCCAAGGGGCTCACCGGGGCTTCTGGGTACACCCAGCGGGAACGGGCTTGGTAAAGTCATGCCTGCGAAGTCACCGCCGCCACCGGGGGGCAACATGGGCATCGGTAGCCGCAAGCCAGACTTGAGAGTCGTCATCCCACCATCCAGCAAGGGCATGATGCCACCCCTGGTGAGTATAAAATAATTGATTCTTCATGTACACATCCACAAGACTGTTGAGTGAAATTATGGACTTTAGATCAGTTCGCTGACAGTGAAATTAAACTAAAATAGTGTCAGTTACACAACAAGCAGAGCAGTGGCGCAAAATATCAGAAAACCAGGTACCCTCACTCCTTCTATTATTCATCTATGAATTAGAAGGCCTCTCAGATGATTATAATTAAGGTGCAGAGAGCTCTGGCCACATTCAGCACCTGAGGCTACACCCAGCTGTCAGCCTCATTAATCACTAAAATATAAAATGGGAAGCAGAAAAAAAGAATATTATTATTATTTTGTTTAAAAATGCAGAAATTCAACTGCAGAAGCTGCTTGGGTTTCTTCTACAGCACGGCACATGTACAGAATCTTGTTTGGTAAATAGCGCTGAGGTTACGCAGGACTCTCTTAGCTCAGCGTAAATATACATATGCATGGGAGTATATGGAATACCACGCCAACATTTGGAAGCGGTATAGTTTCTTACCCATCATGAATCAAAACAAATCCCACATGCCAAGCTTGTGGCATCTGAAGTCATCAGTAGTAAGAACCCCAGAGGATTATTCATTTGTGTATATTTGCGCGTATGGTGAGAGTCCTTTTGTGTGTGTGTGTGTGTGTGTGTGTGTTTGTG